TCGTGATCTGAAATTAATCCTAGACTTCTATCACTTACCTTTTGTTGTTGAACATTTGTTTTTGCAAATTCTTTATCGTGTTAGTTCTGATGCATTTGTTTAGTCCGCTAGTTTATTCAAGCTTGTACAGTTTTGTTTACAGTAAGTTGCATTTTTAAAGAGGTTTTTGAAGTTTTTGTTCAAGGTCTTGAGATGACTAAAAAGTGCATTATTTTTTTGAACTGGGGTGGGAGTCGTGGTCTGTTTTGCCTCCGGTAGGGATTGACTTGATGTATCTCATCATTCTATTTGAAATTTATTTCTTGTTATTGTTAATCGCTAATTGTTTGGAATTTTAATAAATGAAGATCTTGTATTTTCTTGTGATTTTAAAGTTTCATTTTATCTGCTCAATATTCATTTAAGTCTGTTGCGGAGGTTTGAAGGTTTTGCATTTGAAGAGAGGGTGGATGTTGTTGAGGCGGAAATGGACTGGCGGATTTTGGGAGGGATGCAGATGCTCTAAGGGCAGGCTCTGACTAGTTGCATCTTCTGGTTGTACGGTTACTGGTTTTGTTTCGTTGTGCTGAGTAGTTAGAGTGCAGCAGTTATTTGAAGCTGGGAAGTGCGTGGAAGTGATGCTGTATTCAAGAAGGCTTTGACTAGGAAATTCTAGAAATTGTATGCGGTCGTGAATCGTTTGCGTATTGGTTTGTTGTTCTTGCGGAAGAAAATGGCACTAAGTATGGCACTTTTGCAGTTTTGTTGGGGTAAAAGTTGCAAAAAAATTGTGTTTGGGATCGTGCTTGATATTTCAAAGTTGTGCTGTGTGCAAAGTGGCACTTCTCGTTGTGTTGAGTGCAGTAACTAACAGAATAAGCAAGTTTTGGGGAATTTTTCTGCTTCTCAGTAACATGACCGTTGATGTTTGAATGCGCGTGTGAATGTTGAGGTGCGGATTACATGAAGTCGCAAAAGAACTTCTACTGCGTAGCAAAGAGAGTCGCAATTTTAGTGCAAAAAATGTTCAGAAGGCGACAAATTGATGGGACCGTTTAACCGGCGATTAATTGTTGGGAGCAGGTGGATCGAAATTGGAGAATTTGGGCAGCGGTTTCATGTATTTTTAGAAGTCACTTTATTAATATTTTCTAACGAAGTGGTGTGCTATATGGTTTGAAGCATATTTGAATTTGTTAATTGTTTATTATTGCATGAGATATTAAGGTTATTTCCTGTTGTGTTTGTTTGAAAGTAATATCAATGTACAGCTAAAACTAGAAGTAATGGTACATAGTTTGTGGTCAGTGAGGAACTTGAAGGTTAAAACGATGAGTAGCACTGTGAAATGTTGTTGTAACAAGTTATTTCTGCTGGTTTCCTTTATTCATGCATATTACCGTAACTGTTTCTGTTTTTTACTCTTTGTGATAGTGCTACATTTTTTTCCCCATATTTTTGTTTGGACTTGGTATATTATGAAGGATTAAGTTAGCGCTGTGAGTGATGCAAATTATTTTATAAACGGAAATTGAAAGTTGAAACAAACACAAATTGATAATTTAGGAAAACTGAATGACAGAAAGTATGAGGCTTTATTAGTACCTCAAGGCAAGTTCACCTTTTAATCTATTAAATTATAGCTTTAACATTATTAGTACAAAGGGAAATCACAAGACAGTTCTTAGTGTCGTTTATTTTCCTTTGTCTTTGTTCTTCTCGTAGCGACTAGTTTCAATTATGTAGTCATTTAAACCTGCCAAGCGAGACTTGTCGCAGGCGTTGTTGAATGGTAGTTCATTTGTTACCTCAGACTTGAGTAATTAAGCAATGGTAAATGTATACAGTCACAGTAGAAGACCAATTATTATTCATCTGAAATAAGAGAACAACAACATAAGCAATTTGTATACAAGAAAACAGAGATTAAATCAATATCACACCTTCACTTCTCTGTTCTTTTATAGCCTTCTTTCCTGTTTACTTTTATTGCCGGCCATTCATTATCGCTCTTTCTTGATATTTCTTGCTGACCATAACCTTCTTGGTCCAGGGTTTGTAAGCTGGCAGTGTGGTTTATGTTCTCCGGAGCCTTCTGGTTAAGACTACCTGCTATTGCCTTCGGTTTGCAGCTACAATAAGCTTTTATGCTGTGGGTGTGGAAGTCTACCTGTCGTTTGACGCTTTTCAACGACAGTTAAGAACTTTAAAATCAAGTTTAATTTTGGTTTCATTCTTTTTTTTTTCTTGAGGAGAAGGAGGATGGTTTTTGTTACAAATTTCTGAATATTCCGAAGTGTATCATATCTGCTGCAACCTGTAACAGTAAATCACTTTGTTTTTTCTTCTATTCTATTGAACTTTTACGAGGTTTATAGTTTTTGAGAAGTTTATTTGTTTCGTAAGCGTATATTGTGCAGTGAATTGTTTAGAAATAATTATTTTGTAGGGGTTTGAATAAAATGAATTGAAAAAGAAGAAAGAATAAAAGTGGCAAGAAAAGTTTTAGTGACGAGAAAAATATGATCTTATATTGAGTTTGTTTTTAGAAGTTGTGTTTTGACTTCCTTCTGGTAAAAATTTTGACATAACCAAATCAAAATTTTTTTTATTGCTCAGAAAACAATTCACCAAAGATAGATGTCGAATTTCTTTTCTCTTCTTTCATTGTGATTTTTATTTTTACTTTTTTTGCTCATTTTTTTGAAGTATCCTCTTGAAAATGCCAAAACTGTGGCAGATTTGAATCTGCCGAAAACCTTGTGTCTTTAGCGTAAAGAAATTCGTCAATTTTTCTTTTACTTTATCATCTGTTTGCTTATGTAGTGTTGTGTAAACAGACAGTAAAATTACTTTTGTACAGAAACCTTTACAAACTACAGTTTTTGGTTTTCAGCATTACCGTACCATAAAGTTTTTGGCCAAATGAACATCGCTGATATTTGATTGCAGTAATTTTGCAAAACTTTGCAGTAACATACAGTTAAACAATAAAATTTTTTATGGATATAAAACG